TATAACGCTGCGCGTTCATGTTACCTCTGATGAAGATTAAAGGTGACCTGGAACCATAAGCTATAGCACCCCAAACCATAACTCCAACAGTGTGATGAACATGTCTTTCAAAAAAAAAACTGTGGATTCCTCCTTTCACCACGTCGCCTTCTAACCCTGGCACGACCATCGTGCATGCCTAAACAAAATCGAGACTCGTCACTAAAGACAATACTGTTCCATTCCTGATCCCAGAGTGACCGTTGTCTGCACCACTCAAGGCGATTACGTCGGTGTTCTCGAGTTAAAGGGAGGACCCAGTGTGGCCGGTATGAAAACAAGCCAAAACTTCTCATTCGTCGGTAAACACTTTGCATGCCAATAGGTCTTCCGTGTTCTGCAAACCATTCATTTGCAATGGACCTGGTGGTGGAAAAACGGTCCCTGAAGGCCAATAATCTTAGGCGGCGATCTTCACGGTCTGTTGTTCTACGGCGGCATCCAGTGCCCCTTGCTCTTTGCGTACGGCCTTCTCGAAGCCATGCCTGACAACACCTAACCACAGTGTCTACACTTCTTTGCACTCTAACTGCAATTGCCCGAAAAGAAAGTCCAGCTTCCCGAAGTCCCACTATACGGCCCCTATCAAACTCACTAAGTTGACGAAATCGTACAGGTCTCCATACTCTAGGCATCGTAACCGATCGTAAAGGATGTCAAGAACCAAAATCCGCCAACGTTGATTCTTTACTGCGGCTGAAATATTCATTTTTAGAGCGTTAGTGAATTTAAAAAAAGCAGTATGGAAACCGGAATGTCCAACTGATAAGGCTGAAAATTTGTTCACTTGTTATTTACAGTAAGATAAATACATTCACCAACTTTTATTAAAATAAAACCATTTAAACTGGGTGTTCGGATTTATATGTCACTTAGTATACGAGTCCCTTCCCACTTCAGTTGGCCCACTTCAAGATTTGTACCAAAATATGCCTTTATAAACTAAACATGATGAAACTATTTACTTTTAAAACAATTTATTTTCTCAAAAACGTTTTAGATACACGCTAGTCGTAAAAAATACATATTTGAAATCACTTAGACCTATAACTAATAGAACATCTGAACAAATAAACAATGTGCGAATAAATGCGCGAAGTTGACAAAGCAACAATTGAAAGATTACGATTGGGTAACATCACCTTTATTTTTATTACGGCTGAAATTCTTTGGGGCATAGTGTTAACCAAGTTTTGGCAAAAATTTGGTGTAAAAAATCCCATATTTCTTGGAGCTTTTGTCTCAGTTCGGTGATTGTACGAGCAGGATGTTGTCGTAGAACCTTTTTCATCTCGTGCAACAAAGTTTCAATAGGTGACAGATCTGGAGTGCTAGAAACCCATTTCAAAAGTGGTACATTATTTTCTTCCATCCATGTCATAGCCTTTTTGATGTATGGCACGCTGCACCATCTTGCTGAAACACAAAGTCTTAGCCGGATGTCAAAACATTCTTCCATCACTGGTAAAAGCGATTCTTCGAAATTTGCCAAATATCTGTATCCACATTTCCATCAGTACAATGAAGTTTTCCAACTCCTTTTGATGACATACTGCCCCAGACCATAATGGATGCTGGAAATTTCACTTTTCTCTTCAGACAGTCAACATGGAATGCTTCATTTTTTTGCGAATAACTCTACTGCGACTGTCACCAACACACCATCACTCCATTGTATTGCACACCATTGTTGAGGTGTCCATTGTCTATATGTCTATATTCTTTAGCCCATCTAAGCCGATTTTTTTTTTGCAGTGGAGTTAATAGTGGCTTTTCTTTGGCCTATAAAGAAGTAGTGCAACTTTAGGGTTTTTGTTTCACTTTTTTTATAAGAAAACTTACCTTGCAAGTGCTAAATCCCAGTTTGTGAGCGTCTCTATGAGTTGTGGACCTCGAAATTCTCCTTCCAACAGCGTCACTCCTTACAGCACTTAATTGTAAGTAATTGGCACGCCTGTTTTTCACGATTATTCTTCGTAATGCTCTTCGGTCGGCATTTGTGACATTACTTTTTTTCACATATCGTGGCTTAATATTAACTGGACACTTAACTTCTCACACTGTACCGCGATAAGTCTAACAAAGTTGCAATTTCTGAGTTTGATTTCTCAGAATTGAAAAATTTAATTATCAGTAACCGAATTTTCTCACTAATAACCTTTCCTCTACCCATTTTGAAATCCTAACTACCCAAAACTATTTTAAACGTATTCTGACAGCTGTGATTAATAAAAACAATTGTCATGGCTTTTATTTTTCACAGCCACCTATGCGTTATAGACTTATTTTGCATTGAAATGAAAATAGGTTGATATGCTGTAATTGCAACATGTGTTATTTTTATGCTGCAAATTTGATTAGGGAGTGATAAAGTTGGTGTTTTCTACTATATATTATCAAAATATTTATTGTTAATATTTTAAACCTATAACACCCTGCTACATTTTTATTATTTGTGTTTGATAAGAAAAAACTAAGATTTCAATGGTTGGGCCAACTGAAATGGGAAGGGGCTCGTAGTTAGTATGCCTCTGTCGCCATGATGTGTCAGAAAGCAATTGTTCAGTCATTACAGGGAATAACTGAAATGCTTGATCAAACGTTGTAATAATCAAACTGTTGCGGTGTTTGCAGGCAATACTGCGGCTGACTAGGCATTTCAGGGAATGACGGATTTCAGCGTTTGATGCCGACATTATATAAGTCATTCTGCAAGTAGGCGTAACTAGTTACGTAAATATCTATCCATCTTACACTGGGCAACAAATTAAACCACCGATATTGAGTACACTGATTTTCTGACGTTGCAGCTACCTCGGTAGTACATACCAAAATTATGCCTAATAAGTTTACGAAATTGAAAATTTCTACTTCTCTATTTGAAAGCCTTTTTAATTTCCACGCCAGAGGCGAGAAAGTATTATAATCGCAAATAACTTCGAACATGAGATATGCATTTTAGGTCGCATATGACATCTACATCACGAAAAACTACATCACTTATTTTCGTCGGTCTGTCTGTCTGGTAATCCTTGGCCCGTCTATAAATTGAGAATTACCGCTCGCATTTTGATTAAATTTCAGCATGAGGTTACTGATATACCACAGCTTTACGGGTTTTAAAAATCAGTCTAGTGGCGGCAGGGAGAGGGCCACTGCGCCGGTTTTCGACCATTTAACCTAAGCTTCAACTTCAAACACCATACAATTCCGTAAAAATAATTTGCCTTGAATCAGCTTGTCATCATAAGAAAGCTTGAAACTCTGTCTAAGTATGAACTAAACGAATTATTTTAAATAGACCACCTGAGAATTTACGTAATGAAATTAAATAAAACATGAATTTTCACCTGTTTTCGACCACCTACTTCTTGATCTCGACCCTATGCGTACCGATTTTCGACCATTATAGTCGAGAAACGGATCGATTTTCGACCACAGTTTTGGAGAAACCGATCAGTTTCTGACCAGAGTTTACTTATGATTAGGTAGATAGTTTATTGACCTAAAGTTAGAAAAAATGTAAAACATGGTGAAAAATAAAATTTATCTCATAGAATAAATAAGAAATAGAACAAACCTCATTGAAAAGCTTTTAAACAAACAAAAACTAAAACTAAAATAAAATTATTAATTAGGAACAAATAAAACAAACATAATCTTTGGTAGATGCTTCTTCATATGACATTCTGTAGAATCTGTGCATTTCATATGGTACCATCTGGGACATTCATCACAGTCAATATTTTTCTCATCATCATCCTCGATATCACTGATCAGGTTTTCATTGCAACTGGAACACTTAAATGGCTTACTTTTACTTGCCTGTACATCTTCGCTTATTTCTTCACTAGTTTCACGCTGTACTTTTTTATATTGTCGTCCACTATTTTTTATTTTATTTTTTTGTTCTTCTTTAGCTTTTAATTTTTCTTTCCTTCTTGATTTAGCCTCCTCGAGTTTTCTTTTTTCGCATTAGCTTTTTCATTGTAATGCATCCTCCATGCAGGTGAAGATATGGCACTTGGATTTTTTTCTCAGGACCAGTTTTTTGTTTATTCCCGGTTGATCTCCCTTTCATTCGATCTATGATTGTAGTTTTAGGAACATTGAATTGGTGACAAGCTTTATTAATGCTTAAATTTCCCGCCTGAATTTATCGGTGATATAGGAAATTCAAGTGACCGACCTTCAATTTTTGCTCCTCAGTGTGTGTTTCTCTGGATGTAAGTAGGTACATACAGGGTGGCCCAACTCTTCTGGTATATTTTGGGACAAACGCTTGGACACGTCAATTTTGATTTCTAGGGGGACTTCTTTTCATCTATAGCCGTATAATACAGGGTGATACTGAGTTACACTTTAGATTTTAAATGGAATCCCCATTTTTTGTATTCTTAGATTTCCCATGAAGTTTTAGGTAACTTTTGTATAATAAAGCTTATACCTATCTTCAATCGTTGTGAACCTATTTGAATTTATAGTAAAATTCGACTAACTTAAATTAATACTGATAATAATGGAATGCACGGCGAAAAATGATAATCATTAATACCAGCAAAAACATTTAGCAAATTTTTAAGTTACCTACCTAGTTGTGATAAATGTTGAACAATGATTTATTCTACAACTCAAGAAACGATAGAAATGACAAAACTCTATTACCAAAATGGGAGCATTGCAAGAGCTACTGCCCGGTTTTTTAAAGCATTACACCCAGACAAAAATATTAATGTGGCTAAGTTGATAAGAAAATCTGAAGAAGCTGGATCTGTGTCTAATAGTCGCCGTAATCGCTATCGGGAAAATAGACAAATAGCAGTTTTGTAGCACTTGGCAACACCCAAAGCACTCGTGGACTGGCTACTTCGGGATTTACGCGCTCAACAGACAATAAATTTTACCCATACAAGTTATTAAACTTTCGGTCAATTGCAGAAAAACTATATTTTTCTTTTCAGGCCCCGGATATCTGTTAAGGATGGTCATCTAATGTTTATAGCTCCACCTTTCAAGAATATAACCTTCAAGTCCCCGTCTGGAGTTTTTGTGAATAATATGGATTTGTTAGTAACCTTAGACAAGGTAAGTATCTGTGAATAGACAGAATAAGTATTGCCGTAAAATTTCTAAATTCCGAGCACGGGCTTCAAATTTTATTATCGAGCTGTATGTATTTGTATCAGATTGTGTTGATAAACGTGACCAACTAGATGTTGTATATACCGACATTGCTAAAACCTCTGACAGGCTGGGTCATGCAGTTCTTATAAACAAACTTAAAAATTACGGCTTAGATCGTTCAGCTTTGCTATTTTTGAGTCATACACATACAGGGTGTTAGGGAAATCATATTCGTAACTTTAAGAGATGATTCCTTGCATTATTCTAGGCAAAAAAGTTCATTATAACTTATGTCCGACAATCAATCGTTTTCGAGAAAAGTGAGTCGTAAATAATTAAACATTTGGCAACGCTGCAACGCAAACGCGATACGCGCGCATGACGACCGCAACTGATTCATCGAATTGTTTTTTTGTTGTTGAAAATATGCTTTGAAATACTGAATACTTTTACGCAATTGTTTGTGGCTAATATTTTTTATTTAATAACGGTTTCAGTACAGTACATTTACTTAAAAATGACAGAACTTACCGGTACGTGGCGATAGACACCACCAATTCCCACGATTCTCAGTCACTTATTTGAAACGATGCGATGCACGAAAAAGAAAAAAAAAACAACATCCGTAATTACATAAACTCACAGTTAAATGTATTAGTAATCACAACAACACGCGACGATACATGCAGTGCAGGCGGAGTACGACATTGTCAGTTATGTGAGGGATTTTGTTTGTCTGGCTTTCTTCGGAAAATTGTATTTAATAAGCAAGAAAATTATTTTGTTAGAAACAGTTAATTAATAAATAGATGTATTGATACATTTTACGTTATTAGGCATATGAATTTAATTATTAAGGTGCAAAATTAATTTACTTCATGACTAAAAAGAAATAAGTTCAGCATTTTTTTGCTCCGAAACGGTTGATTTCGGACATAGGTTATAATGAACTTTTTTGTTTAGAATAATGAAAGGAATCACCTCTTAAAGTTACGAATATGATTTCCCAAACACCCTATATATATATATATATATATATATATAAGTTATGTACCAGTCTACAGAGAAGATATGCTGAACAAGGACTTTTGCCTCCACGTTCCTTTCTTATCAGTTACAGTATTGTATTTCATTTGTTCTTTACTTTGGTTTGTATAATGAACTTTGCAGTCAGTCTCGATTCAGAACTCATTCAATTAACATCATTGTATTTGGTCTTTCTCAAAAATAAATCTTTTTAAAAACGTTTCGTTGAAGAAAGATATTTGAGTGGCGCAGTCAATCCAGCAGGATAGCCAGACGAAAAAGGGACATTTTCGGTTCGTTTCAACGGTTTACTGGCTATAACGAAACCAACCGCGATTGGTCGCGAACGATCCGACGGAATATCGATATCGTTACCGTGTTCACCGGAAACCAGATTTGGGATAGAACCCTACCCAAATCGAGAAACCAAGACGACAGCAGCCCAGAGGACAGAAGGAACATCTGCTCCAGGACAGGCAACCCAGCAGTGGCCCAGGCATACGGACACATGGGACGGATTGGATTATTACTGTAAGTACGAATGTCTTACAGGGGTGAAAACAATCAAAAGCTGTTTGATGATATATTGAGTGACACTGATTCGGACTCACAGTCGGATACGGAACATATCCAACATAGTTTAAGGAATTTGCAATTAAGACCTAGTATACTAAATAGTACAGTCAATATGAACAACAGTCAAGTAAATCAATCAAACATGTCATTACGCCCAGAGTATCTAACATGATACCCGAATTTTATGGTCAACAAGAATTATTACCAAGATTCATAGATATTTGCGAAAAGTTAGTGAATAAATTTTATAGATTAGAGGATGAAAATGACTTCCAGAACGAATATCTTATGAGTAGTATTTTAGCGAAAATCAAAGGTAATGCAGCTTTAAATATTAGTAGCAATATTATAAAAAATTGGACAGGACTTGAAAACTGCACTTTTAAATACTACATATCAAGACAAGCGTGACGTATTTACTCTAAATATAGAAATGTGTGAATTAAAACAGAACAATGAACCCCTTTGAATTTTATAACAAAGTTCAGAGTTTATTGAATTTACAAATATCATTTTTAACTACACATTGTGTGAGTGAAGAAGCTCAGATAATATGTAATTTTTGCAAAAGCGTAGCATTAAGAGTATTTCTAAAAGGTTTAAAGGAACCTCTAGGATCGCTCATGAGGACGAAAAATCCTACAGACTTGAATGAAGCTCTGAATATATATCAACTAACGACTTTCAGCTTGATCATAAGGTAGATAAACATAAAAATGTTAATCGAAATAATATGCAATTAGTTCGCCATATGAACAACAACTTAGTAATTATAGGAATCAATACCAAGCGGTACAGCGTCCAGTATTACAAAGACAATTTAGTCCTATAATGTACGACCAAATAATCCTAATCAGAATAGAACGAATTTTCATAATAATAACGTTTTTAGACCTAATCAGATCAATAATCTGCCAAGGCCTACTCCGATGAGTACATCCACTAGACAGACGTATCAGCAAACCAAATTTTCAAGGTAGAAATTTTAACAGACCTGGTGTCAACGCAGAACAGGCTATGTTTAACTTGTGTGTACAAGACTAACCTGTTGTAGAATTTCCAATGATGACAATTATGAATGCGCTTATTCTCAGGATAATTCTGACAATTTTTAGGGCAAGAAGCCTCGGTACAGATACAACCACAAGTCTCAACGGACCACCCCAAGTCAATAGAAATTATGAGTTTTAACCGACAAATGTAGCAAACTACCATACATTGTATTTCCGGAGTATAATCTCAAGTATTGATTGACACTGGAAGTACAAAATCTTTCATACACCCTGAAATTGCGAAAAAATTATTTCAAGACATATTCAAAAAGACCCATTTCAATCACTTCAGCACATGGTTCATCTATCGAACAATATAGTATGACAATACCTTGTCCAAAGATTTTTAAGAATCCAAATATTCTCATGAAATTTCATTTATTCAAGTTTCACGAACATTTCCAATGCCTTTTAGGACTCGATAACCTGAAAGAGATATTGAATGCCAACATTGATTTGAGCAATGATCTTTTAGTCACACCCACAACAAGGATACCCATGCAATATCACGAGATTACAAAAAATTCTTCTAATGTTATCACTGTTCCACCTAGAACAGAACAGATAATTAAAGTTAACATAAAAAATTTAAAAAATGGTAATGCTATTATTCCATACAGAAAATTATCATGTTTAGAAATCCCTGAATGTCTTACTACAGTGAAAAAATCACGAAGCAATTTGCACAGTATTAAATTTATCTGAAGAACAGATTCTCTTGACATATCTCGACCAATAGATGTAGAAAATTTTGAAATTACGAAGTTTCAGAAAATTCTGATCCACCGAATATTAATTTCTTTGAACTTCAAAAATATAAATTTGATATTTCCAAATTAGGACAGAGCATATGAACTCTGAAGAAAAAAGACGCAATCACCAAGTAGTAAAAGAGTATTCAGACATATTTCACATAGATGGTAATTACTTAACTTTTACGAGCAAAATTAAGCATCATATACGTACAAGCGATGAAATACCCATTTACACTAAATCATACAGATATCCTGAAATCCACCGAAAAGAGGTACAAAGACAAATACAATCAATGCTTGATCAAAAAATTATTAGAGAGAGCCATTCAGCGTGGTGCTCACCTATATGGATTGTTCCAAAAAAATTAGACGCATCGGGAAAGCAAAAATGGAGAATAGTCATTGATTATAGAAAATTGAATGAAAAAACATTGGGAGATCGTTATCCTCTTCCAAACATAACAGATTTGTTAGATAAATTAGGGCGATGCCAATATTTTTCAACATAGATCGTTACCTCTTCCAAACATAAAGATTTGTTAGATAAATTCGATGCCAATATTTTTCAACATTAGACTTAGCTTCAGGTTTTCACCAAATAGAAATGGCAGAAGAAGATATTCAAAAAACTGCATTCAATACAAAAAATGGACACTACGAGTTTACAAGAATGCCATTTGGACTAAAAAACGCGCCAGCGACTTTCCAGCGAGTAATGGATAACATACTGAGAGGTAAAAATGCTTAGTATATTTAGATGACATTATAATTCAGTACTAGTTTACAGGAACATATTTCTCGACTGAGAGAAGTTTTTGAAAGGTTACGTCAGTCAAATTTTAAAATACAGTTAGACAAATCGGAATTTTCTTAGAAAAGAAGTATTGTATTTAGGTCATGTTGTAACGGCGGATGGTGTGAAACCAAACCCCGATAAGATAAAGACAATCACAGAATTTAAAATACCAAAAACTAAGAAGCAAATCAAAGGCTTCCTTGGACTTTTAGGTTATTACCGTAAGTTTATAAAAGATTTTGCGAAAATCACTAAGCCATTGACAATCAGATTGAAAAAAGATGCAATTATTAATCCCAATGACGCAGATTATATTAAATGTTTCGAATTATGCAAGACTTTATTGACAAACGGTCCGATACTCCAATATCCGGATTTTTCCAAACCATTCTTGATAACTACAGATGCAAGTAATTATGCAATCGGCGCAATATTATCCCAAGGTAAATTAGGCTCAGATTTACCAATAGCGTAAGCCTCACGAACATTAAGTGATTCAGAAACAAAGTATAGCACGACAGAAAAAGAACTTCTAAGTATCGTATATGCAGTAAAATATTTCAGACCTTATATTTTCGGACGTAAGTTTACTATTGTAACAGATCACAAAAGCCTCCAATGGTTATTTTCAGTTAGAGATGCTAGTTCAAAATTATTAAGATGGCGCTTAAGATTAGAAGAACATGATTTTGACATTGTTTACAGGAAAGGCAAATCAAACACAAATGCGGACTTTTTATCTAGAATAGAAGTAAATGTTAATGAAACAGGAGCACCG